TAATGCTTGGGATAGAGAAGGAAGCAATAATAATAGTGGTAAAATAATTTTTAAAATTCAAATTAATGCAAAATAATAATCAATAATTTAAAAAATGCAGATTTTTGATAAAATTAATTATTTTAACCTAAAAAAATTTTAAACTACAATTTATCGTTTTTATTGTCTTTATTATTATTATTATTATTATTATTATTATTATTATTATAATAATAATAAAGTAGGTGATAATGATCATATTCTTTTCATCATATTCTTCTTTCTCATCATAGAGTAATATTAATTAAAAATTTTTTAAAATAAAAAATGCTTTATTTGCTCATAAATAATTTAGTTTGAAAAATTAAAGCAAAAATATAAAAATTTTATTTTCTCAAAAAATTCTACATTTGTATATGTTCTATTTAAATGAAAACTAGTTGATATAACCTATTTTTGAAAAATGTAAAATATTCAAGAATATAATGATACTTTTATGAGAAAGTAATTAATTATAATTACAAAAAATCTTTAATTATTTATTTATTTAATCAATCAATTAACTATTTAGTTTAAAAAAATTATGAAAATCAATAATTAAATAATTAAAATAAATAATAGAACATGTTCGTAATAAGAAAATAAAAAATACATTATTTAGTTTAAAAAAATTATAAAAATTAATAATTAAATAATTAAAATAAATAATAGAACATGTTCGTAATAAGAAAATAAAAAATACATTATTTAGTTTAAAAAACAACAGAAAAGTAAATAATATTAAATAAAGTTTTATTTTAATCAAATAAATTTCAGGTGGAAAGTGGAGAAGAAGGCGAGGTGGAAGGTATTACAGATATATTCAAGAACATCAAAGAAGGGAAGAGGTGAAAATGAAAACTGGAATTCTGGCAAATCTTCTGGGCAATATTGTCCAAGAAATTTATCAGTCCACAAAAAAAAATTAATTACATACGTTTAATTTATTAGTATTTTTAAACGCTATCGGTTTCCTCATGAACATTTATTTTTTTATTTTTACAAAATATTATTACAAATACAAATACTATATATTGTTAAATTCTAACAAATAAAATTCAATTTTGAGTACGATTGTAATTTAATCTAATATTATATATTACCGACTAATAAAAATTTGTTACCTAATATTTTCAAAATTAACTTAGAGGAGAGAGAAGAAAATGCAGAAAACGCGGCAGCGAAGTTTTTGGTTACATTTTTTAAGAGAAAAAATTATAGTTATTAAAACAAATAAAAATAATTATTTCTCGTCTTTTTAACCTTACATATTGAATTTAACTCTTCACAGTTTCGTTAAAATATCTACTTTACCGACTGTACAAATTGAAAAAAATTTAAATAACGGCTCAAAATAAAAATTAATAATAATTTTGATGTTATATTTACCAAAAATTTATAAAACGATTTTGCCCCAAAGATAAATATTTTTCATTTTTAAAATTCCATTCTTTTAGATAAAAAATTGAACTTCATTCAGATCGTGTAGGTAATTGTTTATTTTATTCAAATATAATTTTATTAATTGTCAGTAGCAAGAACTATTAACAAGTGACAATAAATCTTGGTTTTAATGGAATATTTTTTTTCCAACGCATCACGTCTTCAAGTCAATAGTTAAAACATAAAATTTTTATTTCGAAAACTTTAAACGCGTTTTTTTCAAAACTTGTTTCGCACACAGTGTAATGCAGCTCAGACAAGTTTTAACCAATGTTCATGAAACTTACCAGAAATCTTCTTCATCATACTAGCTATTGCAAAAAAAGGCTCTTTCTTTTTTTGAAAAATTTTTTCTGCCGATTGTTTATAAAAAAATTGATTTTATTTTCCAAATAATCACAAATTTAAAAGTGCGACAAATTTAAATTTTTTGAGTAATTGCAATCGTTAATGTTGAAAACGGAAAATATTTTTTTTCTTTGTTCAGTTACAACCCTTACCGCTCATCACAATTAAAAAAATATAGACGTTTTCGAAACATTTTTTATTGCCCTTTTGAACGGCATGATTTAAAAGTGCGACAAATTTTTATTTTTTGAGTAATTGCAATCGTTAATGTTGAAAACGGAAAATATTTTTTTTCTTTGTTCAGTTTCAACCCTTACCGCTCATCACAATTAGAAAAATATAGACGTTTTTGAAACATTTTTTATTGCCCTTTTGAACGGCATGATTTAAAAGTGAGACAAATTTTTATTTTTTGAGTAATTGCAATCGTTAACATTGAAAAAGGAAAATTTTTTTTTCTTCGTTCAGTTTCAACCCTTACCTGTCATCAAACTTAAAAAAATATAGACGTTTTCAACACATTTTTTAGTGCCCTTTTGAATGGCGTGATTTAAAAGTGCGACAAATTTTTATTTTTTGAGTAATTGCAATCGTTAACATTGAAAAAGGAAAATTTTTTTTTCTTCGTTCAGTTTCAACCCTTACCGCTCATCAAAATTAAAAAAATATAGAAGTTTTCGACACATTATTTAGTGCCCTTTTTAATCGCGTGATTTAAAAGTGCGACAAACTTTTATTTTTTGAGTAATTGCAATCGTTAATGTTGAAAACGGAAAATATTTTTTTTCTTTGTTCAGTTTCAACCCTTACCGCTCATCACAATTAGAAAAATATAGACGTTTTCAACACATTTTTTATTGCCCTTTTGAGCGGCATGATTTAAAAGTGCGACAAATTTTTATTTTTTGAGTAATTGCAATCGTTAACATTGAAAAAGGAAAATTTTTTTTTCTTTGTTCAGTTTCAACCCTTACCTGTCATCAAACTTAAAAAAATATAGACGTTTTCAACACATTTTTTAGTGCCCTTTTGAATGGCGTGATTTAAAAGTGCGACAAATTTTTATTTTTTGAGTAATTGCAATCGTTAACATTGAAAAAGGAAAATTTTTTTTTCTTCGTTCAGTTTCAACCCTTACCTGTCATCAAACTTAAAAAAATATAGACGTTTTCAACACATTTTTTAGTGCCCTTTTGAATGGCGTGATTTAAAAGTGCGACAAATTTTTATTTTTTGAGTAATTGCAATCGTTAATGTTGAAAACTGAAAATATTTTTTTCTTCGTTCAGTTTCAACCCTTACCGCTCATCAAAATTAAAAAAATATAGACGTTTTCGACACATTATTTAGTGCCCTTTTTAATCGCGTGATTTAAAAGTGCGACAAACTTTTATTTTTTGAGTAATTGCAATCGTTAATGTTGAAAACGGAAAATATTTTTTTTCTTTGTTCAGTTTCAACCCTTACCGCTCATCACAATTAGAAAAATATAGACGTTTTCAACACATTTTTTATTGCCCTTTTGAGCGGCATGATTTAAAAGTGCGCCAAACTTTTATTTTTTGAGTAATTGCAATCGTTAATGTTGAAAACGGAAAATATTTTTTTTCTTTGTTCAGTTTCAACCCTTACCGCTCATCACAATTAGAAAAATATAGACGTTATCAACACATTTTTTATTGCCCTTTTGAGCGGCATGATTTAAAAGTGCGCCAAACTTTTATTTTTTGAGTAATTGCAATCGTTAATGTTGAAAACGGAAAATATTTTTTTTCTTTGTTCAGTTTCAACCCTTACCTGTCATCAAAATTAAAAAAATATAGACGTTTTCAACACACTTTTTTTAGTGCCCTTTTGAATGGCGTGATTTGAAAGTGCGACAAATTTTTATTTTTTGAGTAATTGCAATCGTTAACATTGAAAACGGAAAATTTTTTTTTTCTTCGTTCAGTTTCAACCCTTACCGCTCATCAAAATTAAAAAAATATAGACGTTTTGGACACATTATTTAGTGCCCTTTTTAATCGCGTGATTTAAAAGTGCGACAAACTTTTATTTTTTGAGTAATTGCAATCGTTAATGTTGAAAACGGAAAATATTTTTTTTCTTCGTTCAGTTTCAACCCTTACCGGTCATTAAAATTAAAAAAAGTATAGACGTTTTCAACACATTTTTTAGTGCCCTTTTGAATGGCGTGATTTAAAAGTGCGACAAATTTTTATTTTTTGAGTAATTGCAATCGTTAATGTTGAAAACGGAAAATATTTTTTTTCTTTGTTCAGTTTCAACCCTTACCGCTCATCAAAATGAAAAAAATATAGACGTTTTCGACACATTATTTAGTGCCCTTTTTAATCGCGTGAATTAAAAGTGCGACAAATTTTTATTTTTTTGAGTAATTGCAATCGTTAATGTTGAAAACGAAAACTATTTTCTTTCTTTGTATTAAATTGCATTATTTTCCTTATAATTATCAAAATCACTTAGATTTGCTTTTAATATTTACTATTTATGTGTTTCGTGTATAATTTATGTTATTTTTACTGAATAGAATGCATAATTTTGAAATTTGTTTTCGTTAAACTTTTAACGTTATGTTCTTCAGCCTAATTATTTCTAAGCGTTCTTGAGCTCATTGGAATGTCATTCTGCTAAACAATTCAAAATATAAAAAAAATTAATGTCCACATTCTTCCCTGGCGTTTGCAAACTGTGAAAGTTGGTTAAAAAAAATTCAATTCTGCAACGCAATATAATTTTTAAAAATCAAATAAATAAATCATCTTAAACTTCTATGATTTATATAATTAAATGTAAGATTTACATATTTTACTGATCATTTATTGTCATTAAAATATTAATTGATTTAAAAATTTTTTTTGAGCCAACATTCACGGTTTGCATCTTCATGTAAAATGATTTAGTAATTAAGTAGAACATTTATTTTATTAAATCAAAATTTAAGTAATATCAATATATTGACACATAAAAGCTAAATTAAATTTTTTTTATCGTAGTAGGAAATTCAAAATAGTTTTCTTATTTTCCTATCCATTAAATAGTCATTTCACACAAAGGTGATTTTATATACTTTCATGCACCACTGCATATGTCCCATCTGGTCCTAGCCGATAACGAGTAATTGATTTTTTATCGGATTACCAAAGCATTGTATAAATTCCGTTCTTTCAGTATTTGACACAAATGCTTTGCAACCGTTGATCAAGTAGTACGTGATATAGCCAAATTTTTTTGTCCGTTTAATGACACAATTTCTTTTTTGAAAAAACTTATTATCTACTATAAAGGTAAGATTTAAGTTTTTCTGTTATAACGTGCCATATATCATAAGCAACCTATAATGAGAAGCAGTTTACTGAAAATATTAAGACCAAAAACTGTTAAGAACAATGTTATAATGATAATGTAATAAATATAATGTTTGCCAATCAGTTTAATGTTTTTTGACATTTTGTCCATTAATGGCTTGATTAAGTGCCATCAATCAATCACATGCATATTCAAAGTATGAAGCAAATGTCCACACAAATATTCTTTAAATATCTTAGAGGGTTGCATTCCAAATCCAATGTTAATTTTTCAAAATTTAAAATCGCGGATACAATATGGCAGACGACTTTTTTTAAAATCGATCTAATTTGCCTGAAAATTGTTACTCGGGGGTTTTCGGGGTCGCTGATTACGAATTCGATATAAGTTTTTTATAATTCAAAATACCGGATACAATATGGCAGCCAACTGTTTTGAAAATTGGTACAATTTACCTGAAAATTGTTAATTCGGTGTTTTCAAGGTCGCTGATTATGATTCCGATATCAAATTTTTCGAAATTCATAATGTCGAATCCAATATGGCTGACGATTATTTAAAAATTTCGTCGAATTTGTTTAGAACCTCATTATTGGGGGCAGGGTCGCTGATTATGAATCCATTATGATCCTAAATGGCGGATCCAATATGATTGACGAATTTTTTGAAAATTTATTCAATTTGCCTTAAAATCTTTACTCGTGGGTTTTCGGGATCGCTGATTCGGTATTAGTTTTTAATAATTCAAAATGGCGGTTACAGCACTGTTCGACACGATTTAGATTTATTTACACTTGTTTTAAGCCATTTAACAAGAGGAAAATCGTTATTACATCAATATAAATAAGAAAACTTAGATATAAATAAATTAATTAAATATAAATTAAGCATTGAACATACTACAGTTTAAAACTATTTCTCTCCCGAAGAACTAACTGCAAAAGCTCAATAAATTGTTTAATTACAAAATTGTCATCAGAAGATAAAACACCCAATATACCATCCATAGCGTCCAAACCCGCAAACACTTTCGGCAAAGCACTTTCACACAAATGCTCGCAAGAAGGGCAATCAAAAAGAACATGAAATAGATAATCTTTTCCCTGATGACAGCAAAGGCAACCTCTATTACCATCAAACTTATACGTTCAACACGATTTTGCACACACGAGCGAAACTTAGAAATTTTGAAACTACCCAAATAGCACGGAAACTTGCAGCAAGTTTGCAGTGCAATGTTTGAAAGTTTGTAAGGTAAGTTTGCAGCAAACTTGTGGCAAATATTGAAATGTCCTCCCTTGGCAAGTTTGCAGCAAAAACTTTCAGCAAACATGCTAAGCAAAATTGTCGAAAAGTTTTAAGAACAATTTGTAGCAAAATTGCGCTGAGAATTTTTAGAAATTTTAAAATGCAAGTTTTAGTAAAATAAATATTTAATAGTTATATTTTGTATTTAATTAAAAAATTTATAAATATTTTTACTTACCTTATCTCGATTTTTAATGTTTTTAAGCCACTAACATCGGGGCTAATAACACAGGCACACAAAAAAAAAAAGTTGTCTGTTTCTTGAACTACACATATATTTCCTATAGTATTTTGACCCGCTGAAACCGAATCTAAGCTCAGAATTGCTCCATCACCCTCAGTTTTTTTTTAAATCGACCAAAACCACCCTTAAACGGACAAATTCACACTTCGGAGATAAAAAATAAATCAACTTATTTTTAAAAAAAACCAAATTTTACATCTACGAAACTTTGCTCCACTAACTCAAAAACAAAGCCAGCATTGATCCAGCACCCCCTGAATTTTTTTATTCGAAAAAACTACCCCTAATCTGAAGAATTAAATTCAGGAGGTAAAACAATAAAATAACTGATTAAAAAATTTTATAACCAGGTATTTTTACTCCAGCAATGCAGAAACAAAGCCAGAAATGCTCCCTCACCCTCTAAATTTTTTTTAAATCGAAAAAACCACCCTTAAATAGAAAAAATCAAATTTAAGAAGTAAAAAAATATTAAATTACCGGCTTTTTTTAAAAACAGAACCTTACATGTTTGTAGTTTTGCTCTACTAACTCAAAAAAATAAAGCCAGCATTGATCCATCACCCTCTGAATTTTTTTAAATAAAAAAACTACCCCTAATCTGAAGAATCAAATTCAGGAGATAAAACAACAAAATAACTGATTGACAAATTTTATAAGCAGATATTTTTACTCCAGCAATGCAGAAACAAAGCCAGAAATGCTCCCTCACCCTCTAAATTTTTTTTAAATCGAAAAAACCACCCTTAAATAGAAAAATTCAAATTTAAGAAGTAAAAAAATATTAAATTACTGGCTTTTTTTAAAAACAGAACCTTACATGTATGTAGTTTTGCTTTACTAACTTAAAAAAATAAAGCCAGCATTGATCCATCACCCTCTGAATTTTTTTAAATAAAAAAAACTACTTAGGAGGTAAAACAAAAAAATAACTATTTAAAAAAGTTTATAACCAGGTATTTTTACTCCAGCAATGCGGAAACATACCTGGCTGTAAAATTTTTCAATCAGTTATTATATTGTATTACCTCCTGAATTTGATTCTTCCGATTAGGGGTAGTTTTTTCGATTAAACAAATTCAGAGGTTGATGAATCAATTCTGGCTTTGTTTTTGCGTTAGTGGAGCGGAAATACATAGATGTAGTAAGGTTCTGTTTTAAAAAAGTCAGTTATTTAATTTTTAATCTCCTAAATTTGAATTTTTCTATTTAAGGGTGGTTTTTTCTATTTAAAAAAATTTTAGAGGGTGAGGGAGCATTTCTGGCTTTTCTGCATTGCTGGAGTAAAAATATCTGGTTATAAAATTTTTTAATCAGTTATTGTATTGTTTTACCTCCTAAGTTTGATTCTTTATATTAAGGGTAGTTTTTTTTATTTAAAAAAATTCAGAGGGTGATGGATCAATAATGGCTTTATTTTTTTGAGTTAGTAGAGCAAAACTACAAACATGTAAGGTTCTGTTTTTAAAAAAAGCCGGTAATTTAATATTTTTTTACTTCTTAAATTTGATTTTTTCTATTTAAGGGTGGTTTTTTCGATTTAAAAAAAATTTAGAGGGTGAGGGAGCATTTCTGGCTTTGTTTCTGCCTTGCTGGAGTAAAAATACCTGGTTATAAAATTTTTTAATCAGTTATTTTATTGTTTTACCTCCTGAATTTGATTCTTCAGATTAGGGGTAGTTTTTTCGATTAAAAAAATTCAGGGGGTGCTGGATCAATGCTGGCTTTGTTTTTGAGTTAGTGGAGCAAAGTTTCGTAGATGTAAAATTTGGTTTTTTTTAAAAATAAGTTGATTTATTTTTTATCTCCGAAGTGTGAATTTGTCCGTTTAAGGGTGGTTTTGGTCGATTTAAAAAAAAACTGAGGGTGATGGAGCAATTCTGAGCTCAGATTCGGTTTCAGCGGGCCAAAATACTATAGGAAATATATGTGTAGTTCAAGAAACAGACAACTTTTTTTTTTTTGTGTGCCTGTGTAATAGAAGATGTTACGTTTTACATTAAGAAATGTTAAAATTATTCAGTTAAAAACATTTAATTTTAATGACACTTAAAATTAGACACAATATTATAGGTTACTAACTAAAAATTGATAAAACAACAATAAATAATAAAAAATAATAATAAAAAATTGAAAAAATCAAAAAATTCTTAAAAAATTGCAAAATAACCCTTTTTCGGGTTAAAATTGAAAAAAGGTGTTACATAAAGATAGTTTGTAAGATTTTCTAACAGCATATATGCAAAGTATTTTGATTTATTTGAAAATAATTGAAAATAGATTTTTCAAGGACAGTGTCGAGGTCACGTGGTCGGTGATGTTTTTCGAAATTTGTTAACTTAATATAATAGAAGATGTTTCGTTTTAAATTAAGAAATGTTAAAATTATTAAGTTTAAAACATTTTATTTTAATGACACTTAAAATTAGACACAATATTATAGGTTACTAACTAAAAATTGAAAAACCGACAATAAATAATAAAAAATAATAATAAAAAATTGAAAAAATCAAAAAATTCTTAAAAAATTGCAAAATAACCCTTTTTCGGGTTATAATTGAAAAACGATGTTACATAAAAATAGTTTGTAAGATTTTCTAACAGCATATATGCAAAGTATTTTGATTTATTTGAAAATAATTGAAACTAGATTTTTAAAGGACGGTGTCAAGGTCACGGGGTCGGTGTCGTTTTTCGAAATTTGTTAACTTAATATAATAGAAGATGTTTCGTTTTAAATTAAGAAATGTTAAAATTATCAAGTTAAAAACATTTGATTTTAATGACACCTAAAATTAGACACAATATTAAAGGTTACTAACTAAGAATTGATAAAACAACAATAAATAATAAAAAATAATAATAAAAAATTGAAAAAATCAAAAAATTCTTAAAAAATTGAAAAATAACCCTTTTTCGGGTTAAAATTGAAAAATAACCCTTTTTCGGGTTAAAATTGAAAAAAGATGTTACATAAAGATAGTTTGTAAGATTTTCTAACAGCATATATGCAAAGTATTTTGATTTAGTTGAAAATAATTGAAAATAGATTTTTCAAGAACGGTGTCAAGGTCACGGGGTCGGTGATGTTTTTCGAAATTTGTTAACTTAATATAATAGAAGATGTTTCGTTTTAAATTAAGAAATGTTAAAATTATTAAGTTAAAAACATTTGATTTTAATGACACCTAAAATTAGACACAATATTAAAGGTTACTAACTCAGAATTGATAAAACAACAATAAATAATAAAATATAATAATAAAAAATTAAAAAAATCAAAAAATTCTTAAAAAATTGCAAAATAACCCTTTTTCGGGTTAAAATTGAAAAATAACCCTTTTTCTGGTTAAAATTGAAAAAAGATGTTACATAAAGATAGTTTGTAAGATTTTCTAACAGCATATATGCAAAGTATTTTGATTTATTTGAAAATAATTGAAAATAGATTTTTCAAGAACGGTGTCAAGGTCACGGGGTCGGTGATGTTTTTCGAAATTTGTTAACTTAATATAATAGAAGATGTTTCGTTTTAAATTAAGAAATGTTAAAATTATTAAGTTTAAAACATTTTATTTTACTGACACTTAAAATTAGACACAATATTATAGGTTACTAACTAAAAATTGAAAAAACGACAATAAATAATAAAAAATAATAATAAAAAATTGAAAAAATTAAAAAAATTCTTAAAAAATTGCAAAATAACCCTTTTTCGGGTTAAAATTGAAAAAAGGTGTTACATAAAGATAGTTTGTAAGATTTTCTAACAGCATATATGCAAAGTATTTTGATTTATTTGAAAATAATTGAAAATAGATTTTTCAAGGACAGTGTCGAGGTCACGGCGTCGGTGATGTTTTTCAAAATTTGTTAACTTAATATAATAGAAGATGTTTCGTTTTAAATTAAGAAATGTTAAAATTATTAAGTTTAAAACATTTTATTTTAATGACACTTAAAATTAGACACAATATTATAGGTTACTAACTAAAAATTGAAAAAACGACAATAAATAATAAAAAATAATAATAAAAAATTGAAAAAATCAAAAAATTCTTAAAAAATTGCAAAATAACCCTTTTTGGGTTAAAATTGAAAAAAGATGTTACATAAAAATAGTTTGTAAGATTTTCTAACAGCATATATGCAAAGTATTTCGATTTATTTGAAAATAATTGAAAATAGATTTTTCAAGGACAGTGTCGAGGTCACGGGGTCGGTGTCGTTTTTCGAAATTTGTTAACTGAATATAATAGAAGATGTTTCGTTTTAAATTAAGAAATGTTAAAATTATTAAGTTAAAAACATTTGATTTTAATGACACCTAAAATTAGACACAATATTAAAGGTTACTAACTCAGAATTGATAAAACAACAATAAATAATAAAAAATAATAATAAAATATTAAAAAAATCAAAAAATTCTTAAAAAATTGCAAAATAACCCTTTTTCGGGCTAAAATTGAAAAATAACCCTTTTTCGGGTTAAAATTGAAAAAAGATGTTACATAAAGATAGTTTGTAAGATTTTCTAACAGCATATATGCAAAGTATTTTGATTTATTTGAAAATAATTGAAAATAGATTTTTCAAGAACGGTGTCAAGGTCACGGGGTCGGTGATGTTTTTCGAAATTTGTTAACTTAATATAATAGAAGATGTTTCGTTTTAAATTAAGAAATGTTAAAATTATTAAGTTTAAAACATTTTATTTTACTGACACTTAAAATTAGACACAATATTATAGGTTACTAACTAAAAATTGAAAAAACGACAATAAATAATAAAAAATAATAATAAAAAATTGAAAAAATTAAAAAAATTCTTAAAAAATTGCAAAATAACCCTTTTTCGGGTTAAAATTGAAAAAAGGTGTTACATAAAGATAGTTTGTAAGATTTTCTAACAGCATATATGCAAAGTATTTTGATTTATTTGAAAATAATTGAAAATAGATTTTTCAAGGACAGTGTCGAGGTCACGGGGTCGGTGATGTTTTTCAAAATTTGTTAACTTAATATAATAGAAGATGTTTCGTTTTAAATTAAGAAATGTTAAAATTATTAAGTTTAAAACATTTTATTTTAATGACACTTAAAATTAGACACAATATTATAGGTTACTAACTAAAAATTGAAAAAACGACAATAAATAATAAAAAATAATAATAAAAAATTGAAAAAATCAAAAAATTCTTAAAAAATTGCAAAATAACCCTTTTTCGGGTTAAAATTGAAAAAAGATGTTACATAAAAATAGTTTGTAAGATTTTCTAACAGCATATATGCAAAGTATTTCGATTTATTTGAAAATAATTGAAAATAGATTTTTCAAGGACAGTGTCGAGGTCACGGGGTCGGTGTCGTTTTTCGAAATTTGTTAACTGAATATAATAGAAGATGTTTCGTTTTAAATTAAGAAATGTTAAAATTATTAAGTTAAAAACATTTGATTTTAATGACACCTAAAATTAGACACAATATTAAAGGTTACTAACTCAGAATTGATAAAACAACAATAAATAATAAAAAATAATAATAAAATATTGAAAAAATCAAAAAATTCTTAAAAAATTGCAAAATAACCCTTTTTCGGGCTAAAATTGAAAAATAACCCTTTTTCGGGTTAAAATTGAAAAAAGATGTTACATAAAGATAGTTTGTAAGATTTTCTAACAGCATATATGCAAAGTATTTTGATTTATTTGAAAATAATTGAAAATAGATTTTTCAAGAACGGTGTCAAGGTCACGGGGTCGGTGATGTTTTTCGAAATTTGTTAACTTAATATAATAGAAGATGTTTCGTTTTAAATTAAGAAATGTTAAAATTATTAAGTTTAAAACATTTTATTTTAATGACACTTAAAATTAGACACAATATTATAGGTTACTAACTAAAAATTGAAAAAACGACAATAAATAATAAAAAATAATAATAAAAAATTGAAAAAATCAAAAAATTCTTAAAAAATTGCAAAATAACCCTTTTTCGGGTTATAATTGAAAAAAGATGTTACATAAAAGTAGTTTGTAAGATTTTCTAACAGCATATATGCAAAGTATTTTTATTTATTTGAAAATAATTGAAACTAGATTTTTAAAGGACGGTGTCGAGGTCACGGGGTCGGTGTCGTTTTTCGAAATTTGTTAACTTAATATAATAGAAGATGTTTCGTTTTAAATTAAGAAATGTTAAAATTATTAAGTTAAAAACATTTGATTTTAATGACAATTAAAATTAGACAAAATATTATAGGTTACTAACTAAAAATTGAAAAAACAACAATAAATAATAAAAAATAATAATAAAAAATTGAAAAAATCAAAAAATTCTTAAAAAATTGAAAAATAACCCTTTTTCGGGTTAAAATTGAAAAAAGATGTTACATAAAAATAGTTTGTAAGATTTTCTAACAGCATATATGCAAAGTATTTCGATTTATTTGAAAATAATTGAAAATAGATTTTTCAAGGACAGTGTCGAGGTCACGGGGTCGGTGTCGTTTTTCGAAATTTGTTAACTGAATATAATAGAAGATGTTTCGTTTTAAATTAAGAAATGTTAAAATTATCAAGTTAAAAACATTTGATTTTAATGACACCTAAAATTAGACACAATATTAAAGGTTACTAACTAAGAATTGATAAAACAACAATAAATAATAAAAAATAATAATAAAAAATTGAAAAAATCAAAAAATTCTTAAAAAATTGAAAAATAACCCTTTTTCGGGTTAAAATTGAAAAATAACCCTTTTTCGGGTTAAAATTGAGAAAAGATGTTACATAAAGATAGTTTGTAAGATTTTCTAACAGCATATATGCAAAGTATTTTGATTTATTTGAAAATAATTGAAAATAGATTTTTCAAGAACGGTGTCAAGGTCACGGGGTCGGTGTTGTTTTTCGAAATTTGTTAACTTAATATAATAGAAGATGTTTCGTTTTAAATTAACAAATGTTAAAATTATTTAGTTAAAAACATTTGATTTTAATGACACCTAAAATTAGACACAATATTATAGGTTACTAACTAAAAATTGAAAAAACAACAATAAATAATAAAAAATAATAACAAAAAATTGAAAAAATCAAAAAATTCTTAAAAAATTGCAAAATAACCCTTTTGCGGGTTAAAATTGAAAAAGATGTTACATAAAAATAGTTTGTAAGATTTTCTAACAGCATATATGCAAAGTATTTTGATTTATTTGAAAATAATTGAAAATAGATTTTTCAAGGACGGTGTCAAGGTCACGGGGTCGGTGTTGTTTTTCGAAATTTGTTAACTTAATATAATAGAAGATGTTTCGTTTTAAATTAAGAAATGTTAAAATTATTTAGTTAAAAACATTTAATTTTAATGACACCTAAAATTAGACACAATATTATAGGTTACTAACTAAAAATTTATAAAACAACAATAAATAATAAAAAATAATAATAAAAAATTGAAAAAATCAAAAAATTCTTAAAAAATTGCAAAATAACCCTTTTTCGGGTTAAAATTGAAAAAAGATGTTACATAAAAAAAGTTTGTAAGATTTTCTAACAGCATATATGCAAAGTATTTTGATTTATTTGAAAATAATTGAAAATAGATTTTTCAAGGACGGTGTCGAGGTCACGGGGTCGGTGTCGTTTTTCGAAATTTGTTAACTTAATATAATAGAAGATGTTTCGTTTTAAATTAAGAAATGTTAAAATTATTAAGTTAAAAACATTTGATTTTAATGACACCTAAAATTAGACACAATATTATAGGTTACTAACTAAAAATTGAAAAAACAACAATAAATAATAAAAAATAATAATAAAAAATTGAAAAAATCAAAAAATTCTTAAAAAATTGCAAAATAACCCTTTTTCGGGTTAAAATTGAAAAAAGATGTTACATAAAAATAGTTTGTAAGATTTTCTAACAGCATATATGCAAAGTATTTTGATTTATTTGAAAATAATTGAAAATAGATTTTTCAAGGACGGTGTCAAGGTCACAAGGTCGGTGTTGTTTTTCGAAATTTGTTAACTTAATATAATAGAAGATGTTTCGTTTTAAATTAACAAATGTTAAAATTATTTAGTTAAAAACATTTGATTTTAATGACACCTAAAATTAGACACAATATTATAGGTTACTAACTAAAAATTGAAAAAACAACAATAAATAATAAAAAATAATAACAAAAAATTGAAAAAATCAAAAAATTCTTAAAAAATTGCAAAATAACCCTTTTGCGGGTTAAAATTGAAAAAGATGTTACATAAAAATAGTTTGTAAGATTTTCTAACAGCATATATGCAAAGTATTTTGATTTATTTGAAAATAATTGAAAATAGATTTTTCAAGGACGGTGTCAAGGTCACGGGGTCGGTGTTGTTTTTCGAAATTTGTTAACTTAATATAATAGAAGATGTTTCGTTTTAAATTAAGAAATGTTAAAATTATTTAGTTAAAAACATTTGATTTTAATGACACATAAAATTAGACACAATATTATAGGTTACTAACTAAAAATTTATAAAACAACAATAAATAATAAAAAATAATAATAAAAAATTGAAAAAATCAAAAAATTCTTAAAAAATTGCAAAATAACCCTTTTTCGGGTTAAAATTGAAAAAAGATGTTACATAAAAAAAGTTTGTAAGATTTTCTAACAGCATATATGCAAAGTATTTTGATTTATTTGAAAATAATTGAAAATAGATTTTTCAAGGACGGTGTCAAGGTCACGGGGTCGGTGTTGTTTTTCGAAATTTGTTAACTTAATATAATAGAAGATGTTTCGTTATAAATTAAGAAATGTTAAAATTATTAAGTTAAAAACATTTGATTTTAATGACACCTAAAATTAGACACAATATTATAGGTTACTAACTAAAAATTGAAAAAACAACAATATATAATAAAAAATAATAATAAAAAATTGAAAAAATCAAAAAATTCTTAAAAAATTGCAAAATAACCCTTTTTCGGGTTAAAATTGAAAAAAGATGTTACATAAAAAAAGTTTGTAAGATTTTCTAACAGCATATATGCAAAGTATTTTGATTTATTTGAAAATAATTGAAAATAGATTTTTCAAGGACGGTGTCAAGGTCACGGGGTCGGTGTTGTTTTTCGAAATTTGTTAACTTAATACACTACCGTCCGAAATTGTGCGAACTCTGCTTTTTCAACAACTATAGAACTGTTCAAATCTTCAAAAATATTAAAACTAAAATTTTTTCCTCTTTATTTTATTAAAGCTAATAAAATTCTGAAAGAAATGACACCCTGACAAAGAGAATATGTTAATTTTTCAATTAGATATCTAAGAAAAACCCAATTTTCAATGTTTTTACTATTTTTTTTATTTCTCTGGCAAAAATTAATATTTTTAAACGTTCTTAGGCTCATTGAAATCGTATTTTGTTATGCAATTCAAATTATATAAAACAATTCATGTACACATTCTTCCCTAGCGTATGCAAACCGTGAAAGTTGGCTCATAAAATGTCAAAAAATTTAAATTTAATTCTACAATAAAATATAATGTTTAAAAATCAACTAAATATATCATTCTAAACTTCTCTGATTTATGTAAGTAAATTTAAGATTTATACATTTTACTGATCATTTTTTGTCATATAAATATTAATCACAATTTTTTGACATTTTATGAGCCAACTTTCACGGTTTGCATACGCTAGCGAAGAATGTGTACATGAATTGTTTTATATAATTTGAATTGCATAACAAAATACGATTTCAATGAGCCTAAGAACGTTTAAAAATATTAATTTTTGCCAGAGAAATAAAAAAAATAGTAAAAACATTGAAAATTGGGTTTTTCTTAGATATCTAATTGAAAAATTAACATATTCTCTTTGTCAAGGTGTCATTTCTTTCAGAATTTTATTAACTTTAATAAAATAAAGAGGAAAAAATTTTAGTTTTAATATTTTTGAAGATTTGAACAGTTTTGTAGTTGTTGAAAAAGCAGAGTTCGCACAATTTCGGACGGTAGTGTATAATAGAAGATGTTTCGTTATAAATTAAGAAATGTTAAAATTATTAAGTTAAAAACATTTGATTTTAATGACACCTAAAATTAGACACAATATTATAGGTTACTAACTAAAAATTGAAAAAACAACAATATATAATAAAAAATAATAATAAAAAATTGAAAAAATCAAAAAATTCTTAAAAAATTGCAAAATAACCCTTTTTCGGGTTAAAATTGAAAAAAGATGTTACATAAAAAAAGTTTGTAAGATTTTCTATCAGCATATATGCAAAGTATTTTGATTTATTTGAAAATAATTGAAAATAGATTTTTCAAGGACGGTGTCGAGGTCACGGGGTCGGTGTCGTTTTTCGAAATTTGTTAACTTAATATAATAGAAGATGTTTCGTTTTAAATTAAGAAATGTTAAAATTATTAAGTTAAAAACATTTGATTTTAATGACACCTAAAATTAGACACAATATTATAGGTTACTAACTAAAAATTTATAAAACAACAATAAATAATAAAAAGTAATAATAAAAAATTGAAAAAATCAAAAAATTCTTAAAAATTGCAAAATAACCCTTTTTCGGGTTAAAATTGAAAAAAGATGTTATATAAAAAACGTTTGTAAGATTTTCTGACAGCATATATGCAAAGTATTTTGATTTATTTGAAAATAATTGAAAATAGATTTTTCAAGGACGGTGTCAAGGTCACGGGGTCGGTGTTGTTTTTCGAAATTTGTTAACTTAATATAATAGAAGATGTTTCGTTTTAAATTAAGAAATGTTAAAATTATTAAGTTAAAAACATTTGATTTTAATGACACTTAAAATTAGACACAATATTATAGGTTACTAACTAAAAATTGAAAAAACAACAATAAATAATAAAAAATAATAACAAAAAATTGAAAAAATCAAAAAATTCTTAAAAAATTGCAAAATAACCCTTTTGCGGGTTAAAATTGAAAAAGATGTTA